ACAAAAAATGCTTTTTGGAACCTACAATATTGATAAATCTTAATTTGAGCATCATATTTATGATATAAATCCATAGAAAAATTGGGTTATGGGATCTTTAAACATGACATGCAAAAATCTTAACATACCTAAGGATTAAAAGTAAGTGTATAAACATTATAATTACAATATTACTACTCTTTTAATACAATCATTTCACATTGTCAGATGTAAGACCATTGTGTGTTTACTTAAATCACATATCAATCATTTCATGGTTAATCAATCTATAAACATATTGCATATATTTTCTAAATGAGCAATATTTCTTCATGTGGAACAATACCATAAAGGATTTAGTCAATTAACATAATTTTCATAACTTAGATGACATAACTGATGTAGTCATAACAACATAACTAATGCAGTCATAATAACATAATTTTCATAATAACATAATTGATGTATTCACAATATTATAACATAATTGTCATAATAACATCACTGGTGTATTCACATTAATTTAATTCTAACAACATAAATGATGTAGCCATATTAACATAATAACATAATTGATGTAGTCATAATAACATTACTGATGTAGTTATAATAACATTGTAGTCGTAACACATTTTTTTTTTTACTCAAACAGATTAAAAAGATACCCTATTGTTCATAATTTTCTATTTAAGTGCTACATATATTTATTTAAGCACTATATGGAAAAATCTGCAAAGATTATTAAGAAATGTGTCACAACGTTTTTTGGGTCATTTTTGCTCATAAAAATGATTTTTCAAGAAAAAGAAAAGCGGGTCGAGAACACAAATTATTTGTAAAGTCCTATATAAAATGGTTATGCAAATCTCTGAAAAATATTTCCAGTCATGTCATTTCAAAAAGCCTCTGTAGAGTTCCTTTAACAAAGCGCAAATTTTATGGTAAAATCAGTAATTTTGTGAGGTGTTATATTTCATTAGTTTCGGAACTGAAGATTTTTGTGGAAAAAAAAATTAACACTTAGTATTATATCAAATTTTAGACAACTGAAAGTAGAAATTCATGTATATTTAGTATAACCTTTGATTTTGGAAAATTCTGATATCTGATTTAACGGTATGCCTTTAAATAGAATGTAATTCAGGCATTGTCATGGAAGAAAAAATGTTTGATAATAACTATCTAAATCATGCTATATATAAAAATAAATAAATTATATAAAATACAAATAAAAACTAAAAGTAAACAAGCATTTGATAGTATTGCGGGCAATACAGTAGTCCCCTACCGGTCCCTCAAAAAGTTCTTTAATTGTCATACACTCCTGTGTATTGCCATTTATAATGAATTTGAGGATGAAGTCTGTATTTGAAAATATCGACCACAAAACATAATAAAATAAGTTTGTCTATATCACAGTAATGTGTTAAGTTTCCATGCTTAGTAAGGAAATTATGTTTATACAACCTTGTCATATTATTACGATGTGGGATTTTAAAGTAAATCCTATAAGGATTAAAGAAGTTGGAGTGAAAATACCAGTTTCTCGAAAAAAATCTAAGTTCAAGGGGGACATAATTCTGGAAATAGTCTTGCTAGAGTATTTAACCTTCTCAAAAATGTCGAGTGATAATAAGAAACATATATATGAAGTTTGAAGTAGATACATTAGGAAATAAAGAAGTTATTTTAAAAAAGACAACATTTTTTCCCCTAAAAAATCTAAGTTCAAGGGAGGTAATACTGATATTTTTTGTGCTAGAGTTATAAAACCTTGTCACATATGATGTGGTTGATGACCAGAACTTATATTTAAAGTTTGAAGTAAACACCTTAAGAAATAAAGAACATATAGTGAAAAAGCTGAAAAATTTAAATCAGAAATCTTGAAATTCAGGCTATTTGTTGCCATAGCAACCAGAATTTTCAACATAGGAAGAAAAGAAAAAGATGTGCATAATCTCCAGACTCCCATCTACCCATATTTCAAGTTTCATAAAAATATTTTCAGTACTTTTTGAGTTATCACTGGATCCAGTTTATGTGTTAAATTTGCCATATTTTCAGACTATTTGTTGCCATAGCAACCAGAATTTTCAACATAGGAAGAAAAAAAAAAGACGTGCATAATCTCCATACTGCCATCTATCCATATATCAAGTTTCATAAAAATATTTTCAGTACTTTTTGCGTTATCGCAGGATCCAGTTTTGTGGACGGACGGACTGACGGACTGACAGACAGACGGACAGACAGACAGACGGACAGAGGGTAAACCTAAAGTCCCCTCCGGTTAAACCGGTAGGGTACTAAAAAACTAATTATGTTTCTTGTGATAAATTTACTTAACTATAACCCTAATACTACACTGAATATTGATAATAAATCAATTTGTCTCCTTGGTGCAAAAATATGGTTAGTTATAAAAGAGAAAAAATACCCACCATTTAATAACAAAATTCTAATAACATAAGAAATTTTTTAATAAAAACCCCACAAATTAAATAAGCAATAATAATGAAAAAATTTAAAAATGAAAAAAAAAACACCACCAAATTAATTAAATAAAACCAGAAAGTTGGAAAATGAAAAAAAAATCCTGGATTTTCTTTTTTTATAGTTAAGAAGAAGAATATCTAAGTGAGTTGGAAAATCTTAAAATTAGAAAACAATCCATAAAATGTTTACTCACAATAATAGCATTATCTCATTTTCAGTAGACTTTGGCAAAACCTGGTTTCCATTTTTTTTCAGAAAATTAGAAGTCCTCCTACACGCCCCCCCCCCCCAAAAAAGCAATAACAAAAAAAAAAAACAACAAAAAAAACCCAAACAAACAAACAAAACACTATCAGCAAAGAATAATCATGGACTGTCAATCATAGACAATTTCTATACATTTTCTCCCAAAGAGCTTGACACTCAATAAAGAAAAAATTGTAGCAAGGCGGAACAAAACATCTATAAATATACATAAAAGAAAAAAATATATCAATATGCATAAAAGAATAAAGTAGAATAAAGTACACAAAATAACCTTGGATAGCTACAAAACCCATCATAGATTTTTTAATAAACATATCTTTCTTGAATATTTTTGGATTTCCTTTTAGATAATTACTGGACAATAAAATAGCAACAGGTTTAAAACAAGATATATTAAGGACAGCACTTCTAACAAATATCTTTGGTATCAATGTAAATTATAAGCGGGATATTACGACCCTTTAATTGCTCACCTGCCTGAAAATTGTTACTAATTATTAGTTTTATTTTATGGTCAACATGGTTAACTTGATTTTTCTTTTGACCAGATTACCTGCATTTTGACCCTGGATGATCCACATTCAAACAAGTCAAGTCAAAGATATCAGCAAAGAAAATGTTTTCACATTTCATATGGTGACATTCAAACTAGAACTACAACATTTAGAGTTGCAATAAGCAAAATATTTGCCCTGAGCTTTTTTAAGCGCATTAGATTATTATATTCATCTTCCCAAGACCTTTTTCTCTTTAATAAAGAACTTGACATATATTTCATAAATATAGATAGTTTGAGCAAGTTTCATTAAAATTTGATCAATTTACTTTTTCTTCAAACAGACAAGCTAAAAATGTGATCTATAGAGTGTAAACAAGGCTATCTTGTGATTTCATTGGGAAACCCAAAATGACTTGCATTAAAACTGCATCTTAAAATCATCAAGCCAGATATTTGACCTATAAACCTCCTTTAACCCTAGATGACCTATGTCCAAACTTGAACTAATATCAATAGAACAAAATTAATATTCTGAGAAAGTGAGATGAATATTCAAATAAATTGTAACCTCTTGAATTTTTTTCTGTGTTTTGAAATCATTACCTAGTTTTGACCTTAAGTTAACAAGAGCCATGTCAACATGCCCATCCCCCGCCAAATGTGTTTGCTCATTGGAAGAATGTATATGTAGTAGAGCAGAATAATTCCATTTTAAGAGGTCTTTTGGTAATGAAAACTGATGGCTATAGTGATTACAGATGTGAAACCTATATGAATACTGATGGCTGAAAATAACAAAGGACAATAACTGAAAAATAATGCAGGGTAGGTTATCATTTTTGTGTGCTGCATCCCTCCTGGGTAAAATCTATCCACCATATGAAGTTTCAAGTTGATACCTCAAATACTTTGTGAGAAAAAAATTGAATTGAAAAATTAAGTATGAAAAATAACAAAGGGCAATAACTCAAAAATTATAAAAGGTAGAGTAATCATTCTTGTGCAGTGCACACCTCCTGAGTGAGATCTATGCACCTATGAAGTTTCATGTTAATATCTCATAGGCTTTTGGAGTTATGCTCTGGACAAAAATCAATTTTGAAAAATAACAAAGGGCAATAACTCAAAAATCATGCAAGGTAGAGTTATCATTCTTGTGCACTGCACTCCTCCTCAATGAGGTCTATCCACCTATGAAGTTTCAAGTTGATAACTCAAATACTTTTAGAGATATGCTCCGGACAAAATTGTCTGACGGAAGGACGGACGGACCGAAGGACGGAAGGTCGGACGGACGGAGACTATTTCTATATCCTCCGCCGAAAATTTTCGGCGGGGGATAATTAAAACTTGTTAATGTTCAACACACACTGGTTTATAAATAATACATTTTTAAGATAATTTTTTTTCAATATCAATTTTAGCACCTTTGAACAACTTATGGAATCTGACAGAAATCTCCACATAGCCTTTACAGCGGACCATCAAAATCTCAGCAATGATTTTGGTAGATGTTGTTCAAATAAATTATCTCAGCAAAAATTTCGGGAGATGTTGTTCAAATAAATTATCTCAGCAAAAATTTCGGGAGATGTTGTTCAAATAAACTGTGTTCAAATAAACTGTGTTCAAATAAACATTGTATAACAATGGAAAACAGACAACAGGTGACATAAGGCAGACAGATATCAGGCAATCAGAAAAAGCGGTGAGTTTATTCAGCCCCCCCCCCCCCCCCCCCCCTTAAAGATCCACAGAGATGTTGATTGCTGCCTTTGTTGTTGTTCCTTGAAGTACCAGTATTTTCCAATGCCAGTATTAGTTGTTACTTGTGTTTTTGTATAAGGTCAGTGAGTACAACAGCGGCAGAATATTCTCTAAAGTCCATAATTGCTGTACCATGAAACAGAATGTTTGTGAAAATTGTCACATACTCACACAAGGCAAACCAACTGTATACTGAAAAAACATACATTTCTATTCTCAACATTTGCACACAACTAAATCACAATTAAATTACTTTTCAGAAAATGTTTTCTCTAATTTTTGTCATGGTATAGAGATGTTCACTAATTAGATAGTAATGTTGTGACTGGCTGTACAGCTCTGTGGGTACAGCACAACATTGTTCTAAAGGTGTTCTGAGGGACTAAGGTACGAGTCCAGGTCAGGCTATACATTTTTCTCAACTGCGCAATTTTCATGTCCAAATGTTAAAAATAATCTGTAAAGGTTAGTCTCTTCATTATGAATTGAATAAATGTGCATAATAATTCACCAGAATAATAATATCTTACCAGGCATAAAAAAAGCATTCTACATGTATTTCCATAGCTAAATATAATCTAGGCCAATGTTTGCTTTTCTTTATTTCAAAATCTTCTAAATTTTTTTGTCTCCTATTCAAACATGACAATTTGTTTTATTTGTTATTTATCACTGTAAAAATAATTGGCATACTTATATTTCGACTGTAATAAGATGTTTAGCAAAACAAGATGGCCAAAATTACCCAATGTTAATTAAGTAAACAAACCTATTCATACTTACTATAAGGTTCACAATACCAGTTATGTCTGAAGTACAGGTACACCGCCAGTGAGAATGCTGATATATTACAGAAGGCAAACAATTTCTTATACTTGTACGAATCATTATACTGAAATATAATAATTACATAATATCCATCAACTTGATGGTCTTAACTAAACAACAGCTGTCGGACTTGGACCACAATAACATTTTTTTTTAATGCGTTTATTGAAGGTCGCCGCCGGAAAGCCCATATTGGCGAACGTACACTCAAGTCGGGACATCCTAGAGCGTCCTGCCGAGAATTTTCGTCGATTTTTTCCCAGCTTTATTGGTGGAGGAAGTCCCTCATTTGTGCCCTTTGGGGCATTATTTCAGGCACGAGCGGGCACCTTGGTAGAACAATCAACCTTCTGTAAGCTAGCTGGATGGCTTCCTCACATGAAAGATTTCGAGTGAGGATCGAAGCTACAGCTGTAGTGCTTGGCAGTACATAAATTACACATAGGTTTGTTACAGTAAAAAATATTATTCATAGGAAAGTACTGTTACCCAAGATGTTAGCAGAGGGTATCAATATTTTTACAAGGGATGACATTTTGCTGTTACTCACAAACATGTGATATTTATTTTACTACACCGAACAAATACTTTATTCAATGGGACACTGTTTCTATTGGTTTTTATTTTTCAGAATTTTACTGTGCCAACAGTACATTTTTCAGAATTTTACTGTGCAAAAGTACAATGTTATATACTTGAATTAATATTAAGAATAACTCCCATTGGCCTATGGTAAATTAACATAACAAAAATGGGGTCATGATGGCCCTGAGTCACTCACCAGAAACAACTGCTTTTCAGTGTTGGAAATTATCCATTGTCAATATTTTCTTATAGCCAATTTGAGCATAGAATATCTTTAAACAATAATTTGAAGAAATGCCATGACCTGGAGCATTTAAGCTTTAGCTTAAACGGGGCCCCTAAAAGGAGCCAATCAAATTAATATGAGCAAACTTAATTAAAGACTACCTAAGAATGCTACAGACAAAGTTATTTCTATTTTCAGCTTTAGCAAATTTTTAAAGGGGCCAATCAAATTAATATAAGCAAACTTGATAAAAGACTACCCAAGAATGCTTCAATGTTTGGTGATCTTCCATCCATTAGTTCTGTAGAAGAAGATGTCTAAAGGTTTTTCTATTTTTAGCCCCAGAGACCCTGAAAAGAGGCCAATCAAAGTAATATGAGCAAAGTTGATAAAAGTCTACCTAGGAATGCTGCAGACAAAAAAAGTTTGGTGATCGTCCATCAATTAATAAGTAGCAGATGTTTAATGGTATTTCTATTTTTAGCTCTGTTGACCCCTAAAATGGGCCATTTGAAATGACATGAGCAAATTTAAGTGTGACTAACACAAGGATGCTACAGACCAAATTTGAAGTAAATCTGCCCAGCAGTTTCAGAGAAGAAGACGATTGTTGAGGCATGACGATAGACTGACGTATGACGGACGCCGGAGCATCCCCCTTGATACTAATACCTCACCCTGAAGCTTTGGTTCTGGTGAGCTAAAAATAGTGAGGGGTGATAATAAAAGTTAACATGAGTTATGTCAAACATTGACATTGATATAAGGGACAGTAGAATAGCCCCAATAACCTTCTATCAAGCTAAAGCAGTAAACCCTTCCTATGTAATATGCTTCAATTGTGGTTAAATGTATTTTTTTTCTCAATCAAATTTTAACATTTTAAAAGGTTCAAGCATTTCAAAAATGCATCAGACCAAACATACTGTAACTTTCATCACAATTTCAAGCTCAGCTGTATCAGTTAAACTTACTTATATCCTAAATCATAACAACTTAGATACAATTGACTTTAAAAAGAGTTAATTTATGCATATCAACAACAGTCAATTGTAACCACGCCCCTTAACTTTCCTGTAACCACACCCCTTAACTCTCCTGTAACCACACCCCTTAACTCTCCTGCAACCTCACCCCTTAACTCTCCTGTAACCTCACCCCTTAACTCCCACGGCACTGCAGAGGAAAGTAAAGAAAATTAGCCAAGTTTTTAATTGATTGGTACATAAAACTAGAATTCTAATGTAAAGCTGACACTTAGAGGGTATTATATCAATACTTACTGTTTTGTTGGATTTGCCCGAGTACTTTCTTGACCACTTACACAGACCAATGGTCAGCAACATGTACATCCATGAGGTTATTATAAACACAATGAAACTGTTCTCATGTATTCCTGTAAAATCATAACACATTGATATTATTAAATCATTGCATTTTCATTGAATAACTTTTGACAAATTAAAAAAACAAAAATGTGATGTGAAAGCATAGAACTTTTTAATATGTTGAAATTTGAAAACCTGAATTGTTTAGGGTGGCGTTTAAGTCGTTTAAGGTGTCGTTTAAGTTGTTTAGGGGTAGTTTAAGTCAATTAGGATGTCGTTTAAGTCGTTTAGGGTGTCGTTTACGGTCATATTACAATGCCTCTTGAAAGCACTCATCAAAAGAGTGTTTTATCAAGTGCAAAATCGTTATTGATTTTTTATTTATTTTTGTTTGGATTTACAGTACACCAACACAATTTGGGTCATATGATTTCTAAACAGGAAAGACGATTTTGGCTAACCTCTGGTGTTACAAACTTAAAGCAACACCAGGGGTCAAAACCACCACACCTGCTGGAGGTAAGAGATGCATAGACTCCAGTAATTCTAACCCATTTAGTCACCTCTTATGATCATGCCAGGATAAATGTTGGCTGCAATTCTGATGCTTTAACCAATAAGGATTAAGCCCATCAGCCACAATGGGCAAATTGCTAATTGAAGTAAACTGAAACATGTAATAGATCGCAGAAATAATTGTCAGCTCAGGTTAAAGTTGTCAGCAAAATATAGCAAAACAAGCAATTATCATAGTATTGCAAGCAATCCATAAGTCCCCTACCGGTTAGAACCCCAGCAACATTCGGATTTCAATTTTACCAGTGAATCAATGACATGAATGAACTTAAATCTTTTGAGTTCTAAGTTTGTCTATTTCACAGTAATGTGTTAAGTTTCCCTGCCTCGTAAGGCAATTATGTTTATACAACCTTGTCATATTATAACGATGTGGGATTTTAAAGTAAATCCTATAAGGAATGAAGAAGTTGGAGTAAAAAATACCAATTTCTCGAAAAAAAATCTAAGTTCAAGGGGGACATAATTCTGGAAATAGTCTTGCTAGAGTATTTAACCTTCTCAAAAATGTTGAGTGATAATAAGAAACATATATATGAAGTTTGAAGTAGATACATTAGGAAATAAAGAAGTTATTTAAAAAAGACAACATTTTTTTTTTTCATAAAAAAAAGTTCAAGGGAGGTAATACTTATAATTTTTGTGCTAGAGTTGTAAACCTTGTCACATATGATGTGGTTGATGACCAGAAACTTATATTTAAAGTTTGAAGTAAACACCTTAAGAAATAAAGAACTTATAGTGAAAAAGCTGAAAAAATTAAATCAGAAATCTTGAAATCCAGGCTATTTGTTGCCATAGCAACCAGAATTTTCAACATAGGAAGAAAAGAAAAAGATGTGCATAAACTGCAGACTGCCATCTACCCATATTTTATGTTTCATAAAAATATTTTCAGTACTTTTTGAGTTATCACTGGATCCAGTTTATGTGTTAAATTTGCCATATTTTCAGACTATTTGTTGCCATAGCAACCAGAATTTTCAACATAGGAAGAAAAGAAAAAGACGTGCATAATCTCCATACTGCCATCTATCTATATATCAAGTTTCATAAAAATATTTTCAGTACTTTTGCGTTATCGCGGGATCCAGTTTTGTGGACGGACGGACTGACAGACAGACAGACGGACGGACAGACGGTAAACCTAAAGTCCCCTCCGGTTAAACCGGTAGGGGACTAATAATACATGTATGTCCCTATGATTCATTGATTGACATTTTTAAGATATTTAATGCCAATAAAATTTATGTTATGTTACCAGTTATAAAAACATGGCATGCCCCAGGTACAGCATGTAAAGGAAATGACACAAGAGAACATGGAATGGTTTTAGCACCAGTCAATTTACTGGTTTGACAGTATGGCATAATTTACAATATTAAGTTTATGACAAATTTGAGTTCATATTACAATTAAAACGATCAATTTCAATGGTGGTATCTCCATATAGAACTAAATCAATTTCATCTAAAATGGCTTGTTAAATATAACACATGAAAGTTTCAAATAAAATATTTATATTGTCACCTTAGTGCAGTAAAGTGGAATAAGTCCTTCTTGATTTAATAGGAGTTAATCAGTTATTGCACTAAGGTGATTATAAATGTTTCAGAGGAAGCTGACATAATCTCGTGTCATAAGCTACAGACCATTGAAAAGCATCCAGGTAATGAGAGTATCTCATCAATTAATTATATAGCCATCATTTTACCTTGCATGCAGTCACAATATTAATTTGCATATTGCAGACAAACTATACATGTACATTGAGATGAAGCATCCATTGTAAACTCAGTTACTTTATTTGAATCAATTAATAAAACATTTATTTGTACAAAACTTACAAATGTTGAACATGTTGAAATAATGTGTAATACATGTACAAATAAACGTAAAATCAATGGTACAAAATTTAAAACAATTCATAAAGATATTCTTAAACCAGTGTTTTTATGTTCCTCCTTAAAATGTTTGCAAAATTAAAGCTACTGACCCACACAATTATCTTGTTGGTGACTGATTTAAAAATACTAACACTTCAAATAATCACCTGTATTTAAAAAACAATTTTTATTTATGTCTACATGTTTAAGAAAATTTCAGAAAAAAAACATTGTTTTTTTTATTTTAATTTAAATATGTTTGAACATCATTTGTTTTAGAGAAGGGTTTATTAATTTTTTTATAAATAATAAAGGAATCTATTACGCACACCTTATAATGTAAAATGATGTGAATAAAAAAATGCATACATGGCTTTTTAAAATGAGATTGAAATGTAAAAACTGTACTTATAATTTTTGATTTTAGATCATTTTTTGCAAAATGAAACAACAGATTAAAAATATAGCGAGATAAAAGTGTCAAAACTTTAATTAGCTGGTAAGCAATCATCTAGCAGTCATTGAATGTAAGATTTTGAATTTACTGGCCCGAATTCCAGTTTTGAATTTATTCTACTATATATTTAACTAAATTTACTTAAAATTTACACTGGCCCGAACTAATTTTCACTGGTCATGGGCCACCGGGGCCAGTGCTTAATTGGATGACTGATCTAGTTAAATGTAAATACATGTTCATGTTTATGAATTTGTGGTGAAATTTTATCTTTTGCCGACACTTTACTTGAGAATATTCAAATCCTTGTGTGTGAAAAGGTAGTATTAACCTCTACCGAAAGACAATAATACTGAGTGTAGTAACACAGTTTGTCTTCTTATCAAAGGGATATTCTAACTAAATAAGATAATCTATATGTTTTATATGTACAGTGTAGTACAGTAAGTTCATTACATGCTACATTAAGAACATTATAAAGTCACATACAGTAAAATTCCTATTAAACGCCCCCGGGGGCTAAACATTTTCCAAAAGAGGGGCTATCATAACAACACAGTTTTTTCTTAAATCCAAAATTCATTGTAAATACATTTAGTGGTAATAACATTAAAACGTGTTAAGATTTTAAAGTTCATACTATAAAATAAAATGGATTCTGAATGATTTGAATGAAATTATGGATTTACTCATGAGTTCAGCACTGATGAGTAGATTGTTTTTCTTATCAAAAGGCCTGGGGGGCCTTTATTAGGGGAGGGGTGTTTATTAGGAATTTTACGGTATATATAAAAACTTTTGATTCAGCAAACAACTGTATCTCAGTATGCATAAATACATAAACATGAGAAAACAAAAGTCCCCTCACCCCCAGAAATATAATAAAATAAATAAAACCATGTTTTACAGAGGACAACATTCATTAAAAAAGATGAATCATTCATAAAAATCTATCTTTTTAACCGCCACATAAAATTTTATCTTATCATTAATTTTGTTTCAAGGTGAAAGATAAATTGTAATCTAAATAGAATACAATGGGTGAAAGAAAACAAATACTACCCAATAACATTTATCTATCAGTATGAATATAGTAAACTTCTATGTAATTCTTTAAAGGTATAAAGCTAGATCTTATGAAATATTTTCATTTTATCGACAGTAAAATTTTATTGGTTCCATAATCTTATGATTAATTTTCAAAAGAATTCTAACATAGAATGTCTCTGTTATTAAATACACATGGATATTGTATGTAAACAGGATCAAATGTCGCGAAACAAAATATTATCCTTCTATTTTAAGTTCGATTGTATCCGTTCAGCAATGATTATGTGCATGCACCATTCCCTTTTGATAAAATTTACTACAAATGCACTACGTATATTTATTTTATGCAAGCATTTTAGAATTACTTTTTAAAATTCAAACAATAATTTTTGCAACAGATATCTAGCTTTATACACTTTAAATACTTCTTTTCATTAATAGTATTTTAAAAATGTAGGACAATTACACACCTTGTAACTTTTACCTGGGCTGACAAAACCCATCTGTGATAATAATTATAATGTTGTTGTTGGTATTTAATTTGTATTATTTCTATTTACATATTAATGAAATAAATCTTTAAATCACATTCCTTATTTCCAATAATGTCTTTTATTTTCACATTTGCTTCCATAATTTGAGTTTCTCAAAATATTTGCTCAATGCAATACGTTTATGAATGACAATGTTTGTTATTGCATTGTCTGCTTATGTACATATTTCAGGGTGATTTTTTGTCTGTTGGATTTTATCCATCTTATACTACATTTGTTTGATCATCTAAAGAGAGATAATCAGCTTTTATGTTGTAGAGATTAAAGTGTCAATCTATATGGACATCAGAATAAGCTTACCTCTATTATCACTGGAAGAAATACATGTGAGAAATACCAACATCATATTCTCTATTATATGTAACAAAATGGCTGTTTTCACCAGGAAAATGTAGGTAGACTGCTTAGCACCTGAAACAAAATCATGCAGGTTATCATTTACATATAAAGGATTAAATAAAGTCGCACCTGACAATTTTTGTAGTACTTAATTCTTAAGACATGTTCATACACTCTAGGTTTTGTTTACACCAATGATCCGGGATGAACCATGATGAACTGGTATACAGCCATGGCTATTCCAGAGACATCCTGGATAAAGGATGTCCATGTAAAACTGACACACCCTGGTTTTATGAAACAACCAGGAGTTTTGGTATTCACCGCGATTGATGAAGAGATCTGTGAAATACCAGCCATGAACCAGGGACATACAGGGTACAACAAGCCTCTGTCTTGTCTGTATGGTGACAGATAAACATTAGTACTCCAGTTAGCATGTTATCACATACACAGTAATGAGTAAAGAATTAAGACAAATTCTAACACGACTCGGAACTTTGTCTCTAATATAAACAAAGAAGTAAATGACTGACATAAGTTGTTTATATACTCTCATAAGAGACTGCTTCCTTTTTTATATGTTCAGGTACTGACTTAGATATTATTGATAAAAACATGCACATTTTAATTGATATTTTCCATTTTTACTTAGTTTTCCTTTATTTTCATGAAAATACATATCATAGACATTCATGAATGAAGTTTTTCAACATTCATAGCCAGTGAAATGATGCCATTCTAAGCATGAAACTCATTGAAGGTCCAAGAATGATATCACTTTAAAGCTTGCCTGTCAGCTTGTTCAGATAGGTTTTTCTAGCACCAGTGTTATACTATAAATTCTAACACGCTTGACACTATTCCCCTATCAAACAGCTAGGGCGATCAAATGCATTATTACACGATATATGCACAGCATAAAAATGAATACTTAAGAAATAATATATCCCAAACTGTGATTCTATCGCTCAATAAAATCACTCTTTGGAGTTCAGATGTGAGGAATTATATCACATGGGTGATTTGGATATATTATTTTGATTCTAACATGACACTAACAAATAAATTTTGCCATACCTCATAATATGCTAAATTGTGCCTGATTTGTTTCTGTACTTATTTCAATGCGTTGAATTTTTAGTGGTTACGTCAAATGTATATAATGATAATGTCACATGTCTAAATATAGAAAGTCAACAGTGACTTTATTGCATAATAACACACGCTTTCGGTTCTTCCATGTTCAATAGAGAAAAATGCGGGTCATGTTAGAATTACTCATCATATATGACATCAATGAACCAAATGTCAGGAAAATTACTTCTACACTAAATGTAGTTAAACATATTTTTATCAATTCTCTTTTTAATAAACATGCTAGAATGGAAATAGGTATAAATTTTTCTTGCATTATAGTTTAATAATAATTAGTTTATTGTTCAAATGCTTTGTAATTAATCACCCAGGCCTATCGGCCTTCGTGATTACATTCCTGCACATCTGAACTCGAACCACATATTATTCTACAACAATGCACTCAAAATTGATATCTATTCCCTAAATCCAGTCTGATAATATATAAATTTAAATTAATGAAACTAGACAATTTTTTTCCCCAAAAAATTGTTAATAAGATACTTAAAAGTTAAAACTTTTTTCATGGAATTATCAACACAATATAATTATGTTAAAAGTGTGAATGCTTTAACAGAAAATTGTATTAAGTTAAAGTTACTTACCAACATGAACTTGTTTATGCCATCCATAGTAAGACATTGCACATAAGAACCTAGGTGCTGCATGTAAAGATATAAATATCCTCCAGATATATTGCTGGGGTGTCCTTCCTATAGCTGCACTTATACTGGGGAGAATATTTGGTACCTGTAACACAAGCTATAAATATTGAAATATTCTTTTCTGATTTGATGTAATTTGTATAACAAAATGCTCACATCCTAATTTAAATATGTAAACTATCAAAATGCTATAATGATTAAATTTGCAGAATGTAAAATTTGATCTTGAAGGTAAGAGTCATTTATGGGTCAACAGGGCTCTCATTTGGTAAAATTTGGGGCCGAATATCGGCCCCATTCCCCCACCAAAAAAGAGTGTTTTTTTCCCCCCTAAAACCGAAAAAAATCCCCCTTGAAATTAATTTTAACTGGCATAGAAAACGCCAATCGGCGAATGTATATTCCGCGTACGGCAACCCGAAATTAGTAAGTATTCCACGAACGGCATTCAGAATTTAGTATGTATATATAAATAAAACGTTCAGGACGGGTTTTAGAATTCCTACATGTCGCACAATTTCAAGTTGTACCGCAAAAAATAACAAATATTTCATGAAAGCAGCTTAATGATGTTATTTGTTAACTGAATCTTACATTCACTTTTTTCTGTTTTTTGTTTTCTGAATTAATTTTCCTCTGTGGAAATTCCCCTTTGGATGAAAAATATTTGAAAATCATGCAAAATTCCCCCCCTGCATGGACCCTGGCCCCAGTCTCAAAATGCTAACGAGAGCCCTGGTCAAGGTCGTAGTTCCTGTTAATAGATACATTTTTTCAAGTACATGTACCCTAACTGATGGACTGAAGATGATTTAGTCAACATTAAAGTTTGTCTACAGAAAGACAGACAGGGAAATACAGACAGGAACACATTACAAAATTAAATATTTCATTAATACCATAGGTGTTAAACTACAAAATGTTGTTACTATGATCTAGGATGAGTACAACACTTTACAGTAATTTTGCATTGAATGAGCCAAAATAATTATGTCATACATGCTGTAATGTCAGCATGATGCCATCAGAAACATGCAAGACTATTTCTGCTATTTAAGAATTTTTTACAACATGTTTATGTTCATTAACTCTAGAAAATATTAATAATGAATCAGTATTACATGTGCTGTTGTGGCTAGGTCACTGAAAGAGATACATGTAACAAGAGGGCAATGATGGGTTCAGATGACTCAGTTGTTAGTTATTGCTTGACCAATGTGCTAATTTCTACTGAGCAGAAGGCGGTCATTTGGTCAGGTTCAAGGGAATCTTATGTCAAATTTTCATTTCACTAAAGATTAATTCAAAATATGATGAAAGAAACTACACAAATATCAGAATATTATGGTTAGAAACAAATTTTAAGTATGCATATGTTTGCCCTTTCAGGCAACTTTAGTGAGTATATAGTTTGATTACGGACATTTTCAGGAGTTTTAATATAGACATATAGGCAGAATTAAAACTGTCTTTAAACCTAGCATGTTGTTGATGAAAGAATTATTTTAGGTAAAAAACTTCAGTGTCCCTGATCTCACTTTTTTATATTTTGGTTTACTGATTTTTTCCAAAAAAAGGTAGAGTCGGCGGCGGGAAAAAAAAAAAAATAACTATAAAATTAATGTGGTGCATACATATACATAGTACTTACTAGAGCAATGAAATTAAATACATCGCCGATTGTCTATTCCAAAGATTGTCTAAATACACAAAAAAAACTTTTGCTCACATTGCCATTGTTTAAAAACACACATGAAATCTACACACCATGACTAATGGCAAGTGGCAAGCCAGCCCTTCAAAAGAATCTGTCATTCTTTGATGTTTACACACTGCTGTGTAATCTACATCATCAAAGGTGCAGAAACTCAGCTGACTTGCACTCATTTCTTTATAGATCAGAAGTTTAAAAAAAACTGTCAAAAAAAGATTACACATGTTTAATTATTGCCCAATGTGAAAATATTTTTATCGGATAATTAGCGGGTCAATTTTTGACATAAAAATCTATTAATAGTAAGTGCATTTTTTTATTTTGTTTGTTTGACAACCTGTATTCAATCTGCTTTTAAAGACTAATTTTTTTTGTTATATCTGAAAATACTGACCTTGTCAATTGCAGTAGATTTCTGGAATGTAATTGCTTACGTAATTTGGCGTGTTTTTTTTGTTTGTTTGTTTTTGTTTTTGTAGTTTTTTTTGTTTTTTTTTTACATTTTTACGCATTTGGACCTTAAATGCATTGATGAAATTTGATCAAAGCCTAATTATAATTCTGTGAGAAATTAATTGGCTTGACCCATTTAACAGACATTCTTTCATAATACACCAATAAACACTTTACTAGACAGGGTATTCTTGAGTAAAGATAACCGGTTGCCATACATGCCATAACGTCCCGGATGCCCGGGATTGTCCCGGAAATCGGATGTCTGTCCCGGAGATGTCCCGGGCATCGATTTGATCCCGGAAAAAAAAAATCATGATATTTTGCAAAATTTTCATAAATTTTCTTAAATCAAATCTCGCACATTTCACCTCTAGATCTTAAAACATAATCTGACCTGGTACACATAATACACAGGAACGTTGACACTTACAAGTTTACAATATACAGCCCCCCAATTATCGACTGTCGATTCCCCTCGGCAATAGATTCTTCATGCATCGGCAATTAACATTCTCTGTTGAATTCGGCAGCGTTTAATGGTCCGGTTAATTAATTGTTTACGGCCCTTAACAATTATCGTTAATCCCCGATAATCATTAATTTTTAGATCAATCGCTAAATTGCCGAAAGTCTAATTATTACAAACAATGTAAATATATCTATCAAATAAAAAAAATAAAGGTGTCAAATAAATCACCTTGCTGTGTTTGTTTTTATAACTGGAAGAATTGCATTACGTGACATGTAGTAATTATCATGACTTTAAGATATAACGACGAACAACATGGCTGCGCCCATTCACCGGGTTTATAACTTACAACTTACTTGCTTTTAGGGAATAATGAATTAAATAAAGAAATACTTTTAAAATGATAAATATGTCGACCTAAAAGACAACTTATAAAACTAGTAAGTTAACTGTTTATCATTAAAATTCAGGTAAAAGTCGTCCTAATTTAATAAAGTTATACGATTGACACCCCCCCCCCCCCACTTTTCCACAACTGCCTACACATCCATTATTGCCGCGATGAAAAGTGTCCCGGAAAGCTGTCCAAAAATTATGGCATGTATGCCGGTTGCGTATCTCACTGTATAAATCGTTTGTAAAATAGTCTGGCATATGGTAGGTTTAACAGTTAATTTAAATACTTACCGTGACGTTTCTTTGATAAGTCGTATTATTAGCGGCATACATTTGTATTTCAAGACAACACAGAATTTTTTTGGGGGCAGATTTTTTTTTTTTTTTTTTCATTTTCCCAAAATACAGAGTCGGCGGGTCAGTAAACCGAAATAATAATGGCCTTATTATATCTGAAATTTTTCACAATGGCTTAAACCAAAGTAATTAAGCTACATGGAAATATGAAAACAAAATGGTACAGTTTACCTTCATCGTTAATTATCTGCCCTTGAATTGAGCAAAAAGTTCCATTTCAGAGGCAGATAACCCAAAAAACATTAGCAGTGATCCCTAATTCATTTTTTTGCTTAAAATATCATATTCTAACTACATGCTTAATTTAAAGAAATTCCATTGAACAGTTTTAATTTTGCCTATGTGTCTATACATGCTATATGAATACTCCCAAAAACATCTTGACTTTAATGCTAAGTTTTGTGTGTGTTTGCAATAAAAGATCTTTTATCATTCAGATATGGCAAAAATCTAAAAAGAAAAAAATGAAAACAAAAACAAAACAAAAAACAACTCTAAGAACAACAAGGGCCACAACTCTGTGGTTTCATCAGGCAATTATTGAAAATAACTTGTTTTTTTCCCCCAGTGATATCAATGTAAATATAATCTGTAAAATATTCTTTAAATCGTTCTACTTAATATATTTATAAATATCATGTAAATTTGCACTTAATTTGAAAATTGCACACGTTTTATATTGACCCGTCCAACATCATCCGAAAATGTAAATGTATCCGAAATACTATCAACTTACATGACAATGAGTTGCAGTTGACCCATGAAAGTCGAACATAACTGAATATGCAACAGCAAAAGTTGTTGCTAATGCAGGTAATGACGTAGTTATATATCCCAGACGTGCAAATGTCAGATAATAAAGTGTGTTTTTGTCCATTGCGATAACTTTATTGTTGATCCCGTTAAACTTTAATTGGTAACGAATACTAAAAATATCATTGTCGTCTCTACCCTCATCCAGTGTAGGCCTGTTAAATGAAATTTAGCATGCATTTTAATACAAGCTTATGATGCGATTATACCCTGGTTAGTCATTTGGAACCCTGTCCGTCTAGGCTCTCTTTAGGGAAAAAAGAACAAAAAGAGGTTACAGATTACTCGTGAATTTAAGGTTCAAAACCGTCTTTCCAGAATAAAATTTCCAAAGGCCCATTATGCCTCAGGAATGCAATCATTTTTTATTACTCACAGACTTTTGTATTTTTTATCTAGTTACAGTTTCCAAAAATTTACACACTTGCCACATATTTTAACTATATTAAGTATGCTTAATGAACATTTCACCATTATATCCAACACTGTCAATAAACATTTTTAGTAGAATCAATTCAAATTACATCTCAAGGATAAATTAACGATAAACTGGATACTAATGATGTATTTGTTATTGAGTCTACTACACCATTTGAAGTTTTAAAATATATTGATAAATTAGATGTGCATAAATCAACTGGTTTGGACGCAAATGGTTTGCGTTACTGTGGTGACCACATCACGTACTACGTCTATTGCGAAATCTTATGATTACCAGTTCTATCGATACTGGCTTAATTCCCTGACTATCTTAGAAGCAGGTATGTTCTACCAATATTCAAAGGTGACGATAAAGAAATTCCAAGCAACTACAGGCCATTATATATATATCTATCCTGCCTACAATTTCCAGAATATTTGAAAGACACATAGCAAATCAAGTCCAATCATTCTTTAAGAAAACAAACATCATTCATAAAACACAATCAGGGAAAAGACAGTGATCTTCATTTCACACAACACTAATTCGGCTTTTAGAAGCATGGTTAACTCATATAGATGCTAGTAGAAAATAACTTAATATGTAGGAACTGTATTTTCAGATCTAAAAAAAGCTTTTGATCTTGTCGACCATGAAATTTTATTGCATTAGTTAAAACTTTATAATTTTTTAGATAAAATATCCATCTTTTAAAATCTTATCTGTCAAACAGAACGCAAGTTGTTTAAGTTGGATGTGCCATGTCCAATAGCAGGCTTGTAACTTCTGGAGTTCCTCAGGGATCTGTTATTTGTTTTCTACGATGGTATATCTTCATGTGTAACCTTCTTTAATAAAGAAATTATTATCATTATTTATTATTGTTATTACTTTTATTTTCTGTTGCTTCTTTTGCATTGTTGGAAAATGGTAAAATTAGAATGAATTAGTATTTTTATGTATGTCTAAATACAATTTTGTTTACATTTTGCTACCTTTATGGCACATAACTGCACGCTCATGGCTACTTTCTTTAGTTGTTAGACATATAATTTATGCTCTTAAGCCATTATTAAAACATTATTAAACAAATGCTTAACATTTGAAGAGAATTGAAAAATATGGATTTCTGAGGCATAATGTCATAGTATACCTTTAACCAAAATAACCGATTCAACTAATAATGGGGGACACATATTCCATTTTCATGTATATTCACCTTATGTTGTTGTTTGCACAACAAAAAAACCACACCTAGAATATATGTTTGGATCCTACCACGTTATTTATAGTTTCTAGTTCCTGTCTTGTGACTGGCAATGACGATAGCAACTTTCGCTTTGACTGGCTTATTAAGGTTTGTACAAAGATCGGCGCTAAAAGTTTGACTGTAAAGTTAATGACACACTTCATCTTCAGAGTATTTTAAGCTAGAATTCTAATTGAAAACCAACTGAAATACCTATTGACACTTAATTATACAAAACATACTGTTGGAAGACACAAGCTGTTTGGTCATATCAGACGAAGCTTATACGTACAAATTCAATTTACATGTATACAATATTTTCATTCAAAGTTCACACTGGTTGTTTGAGACTTGTTTACATTCGTTACTTTTTTTGAACACTTCAAACTAACATATACTTTTGAATTAGGCGGGCAACGACAGCACAAAATTGGGTATTACTTGAACCGGCGCCAGCGGGTAAGAATAATGAGTAATGCTGAAGTCGGTGCAGCGGGGGGGGGGGGGGGTTACAATATTTTCCATAATTCAATTTTTTCTTGAACATTATGGGAAACAAGTCTGTGATTTCCACATACTAATAATTATCAGCATTGCTCCCGCATTATACCTTTTCATCGGAATTTTGTGTTCAGGAGTAATTAAAAATGCGACAAATTCCCTTTGTTTTGTAATATCACGTTTAATCACATACCCATACCGCTTTTGTGACTCCGTAAAAATGGTATTGCAATTAAAAAGTGATAAAGTGATTCTTTTTTACTGTAAACAGTTCTTATTTTGGATACGTGATAAATAAAATGATAATTATATATTCGTGTAGGTTCATTACTTAATGTATTGAGCACGTTTAACCAATGATGGCATTATAATTGAACGACAAAATATTCAAGCTGACCTTTACCTTAAACTATTTGTGTTACTATATGCGGATGATACTATAATTGTAAGTGATAGTCCTGAATCATTACAAAAATTATTGAACGACTTTTACGAATATGGCTCTAAATGGAAACTTACAATAAATAAAAGTAAAACTAAAATAATAATATTTGGATCGAATAAACCCGGCAATTTCCGCTTCCTTCTTAACAACGAACCAATTGAAATAATAAAGGAATATAAATACTTAGGAGTACTTTTCTCATCTTCTGGAAGTTTTCTTAATGCTAGAAACTATTTAGTAAATCAAGCAATTAAAGCAATGCATATACTTTATTCAAAAATATTTAATCTTGATATCCCAATTGACTTACAGTTGAAATTATTTGACCAAACTATTGTTCCTATACTTACTTTTAACTGCGAAGTTTGGGGATTCGAAAATCTAGATTTAATTGAAACGGTACAAAATAACTTCCTAAGAACTATTACTAAAAGCAAAAAAAGTACACCATTATATATGCTATACGGAGAGCTTGGGCGCTATCCAATGGACATAGTCATTAAATCGAGGATGGTAAATTATTGGTGTAAATTAGTTATGGGTAACAGAAATAAAATTTCTAAAGTATGTTATGATATAATGCTCAATTCTGACACAAGCTTTAAATGGTCACAGTGTATTAAACAAATTTTAAATAATACAGGTAACACATACATATGGGAAAACCAAATGAATATCAATCTTAAAAATTTCAGTATGACAATAAAACGTACATTAATTGACCAATTCTTGCAAAACTGGAATAGTTTACTTACAGGTTCTTCTAAAGGTCTGACATACCAATCATTCAAATCCGATAATAATTTCGAACAGTACCTCATTGCATTACCTAATTATCTTAGAATGGCCTTTTTTCACTTAAGAACAGGTAACCACAGGCTCCCTATAGAAACAGGCAGGTGGAGGCAGTCTTTTGTCCAACATGCTGAACGAAAGTGCCAACACTGTCAACTAAACGATTTGGGAGACGAGTTTCATTATATTCTCAAATGTCCTTTTTTCTAGCCTCTAGGAAACGTTATATAAAACCGTACTGTTTTAATAGGCCCAATATGCTTAAATTTTCACAACTTATGTCTTCTAAGTCTACCAAGGAACTTAAAAATATCGCCCTTTATCAAGAGAAGTAATGACTACATTTAAAAGATAGTCCAAATAAACATAATACTAGTGGTCCAATAAGTTAACCTTTCCCTTTCGTTTCGAGAAAGGTCGGCTGTAAATTTGAGAAAATTCTCCGCATAATAGTTTCAAGTAAAATATTTTCCTCTACTTCTACTAAACACGTGCGCAACAATAATTATATATTTGATGATAAATAGTATAACATCCTAAGCTCGAAATTCAAATTGCATTTATAAACATACCAGTTTGTTTAATAATCCTTTTTTTGCAATATCCTTTTTTGTTTTGTTTTCTTCCCGATGCACTTAACCTTGTTAAAAAAAAAATTTAAATAATGCTGTCAATTAACAATGAAAGCACGAAAATTCTCTATGTATAAACCACGTATCTTCATTACTATAAGTGATCATGATAATATTCCTTGGTAGTTATATCATTTGTTTTTTTGATTATATGTTTGTATTTTTGTACATGACATTAAAGAAACTGATTATTGTTGTATTTATTTAAAACTTTGTAACACTACTATACCATTGAAACTAGCTAACTAATTGATCTAACCCCATATTGTTAATATTTTAGATAAATCGTCATGTTGTTACCATGTTTGTAACCTGATTTACCAATAAAGAGTATTGTATTGTATTGTATTGATAATATTATGCTTGCCAGAGGCTCGCATATTATAACTTTATTCAACTCGTTCAATAAAATCAGTATTGAACCTACACTCATTCAATATCTTCTATTTCTTGCTTTTATACATCAAAATAGGGGAAAACAGAATCCCTAAAGAAAGCCCAACACGACAAAATTGAAAATGTTGCAGGCTCGGTTTGATTGAGCCTGTTCATGGACGGTACTGGAAAGTGAAAGTTACCGTCCACGCCCCCTAGCACCGGCTTAAGCCGAATTCAACATTAACACGAAAATGGTGAAATTTAAATGGTTAAAGACTGTTATGAAAATGAAAAGTTGCAAATGAATAAAAAATTAGAGAAATATTTTTTATCTAAGCTATTGGTCCACGTATTTGATAATGTTACACGACACTTTGTGTTTTGTATACCCATACATCGTATGATGTGTTATATTATATGGAATTTGGTATTTGACATTAAACGTCACTCATTTCTTTAACAATTTAATTTCAAATTTTATATCTAGAAGTCTTATCTTTGTTATAAACAGTTCATTGCAATGCTGAATTAACCATAATTGCTTTGATATTGTTAACATTAATTAGGTAGGGTTTGATATGTGAAATGATAGGTATGCATGACCTTTTTTTATAGTTGTGATATGTGTTTTGAATAGTATTGTCACATCTCATAAGCTCGTTTAATTC